TTTCCTATGATGAATTCGTTTTGTTTGTTTCTTTTAAATTTATTTTACTATACTAAATAATTGTATAAAATATTATAAATCACAATAATTATTTACTTAAATATTCAAAAGATATAAAAATATGTAAAAGATCTGATTAACTCTTCAAATTTTATCGGTGACACATAAATTGGACAAATGAAATAATATATATTATTTGAAAATTACTTAGAAAGTACAATAATTTACAGTAATTAACAATAGAATATTTTAAAGACAAAAAAAAATTGATTGAATCTCAAAATTTTATTAGTACCACATAAATTGAGAAAGAAGAAATAACCTTTATTATTTCAAAATTGCGTAAAAAATATTACAAATCATACAACAATAATTAGCAATTTAGAATGTTAAAAGACATAAAAAAATTTTTACCATAGTTAACAATAATTAAAAATTTAAACTATTTTAAATTAATATTAAAGTTTGATTAACTCTTTAATTTTGTCTTTGTCACATAAATTGAAACAAAAAATGATACATATTGGGCCCGTGCTAGCACGGGCTCCGATGTCTAGTATATATATAGATGCAAATGCATGACATACCAAACCAAATGCTAGCAATGGTGGTCTTTCCGGTAGCTAACCGGTATCACATTCTCCAACTTGTGGCCATTTGCATCTCATACGTATAAATATAGGCAATAGGCCCCATACCTCCCGATTATATCTCGAGAGTAGAATGCATAGCATGTAATGCATGTCATGAATTCGTAATGCACATAGGTAACCATAATCACGTTTCCAATCTTGTCCCATAGGTACTCTTGTTCTCATAATCCCGTAATCACTTTCGGGTAACATGTAAATATCTTGTAGAACCTCATATGCTTTTAGAATATACCTGAACGCTTAACTCGACTTCGAGTGAGTAATTTAGTCGTTTAGGAACTCAAAAATAGACTGACATGCTTGACTTGATTTACCATAAATGACTCTAAGTTGGTATTATATGAGCTTGTTTAAAACAAGGTTGTTTGACAAGTATATAACCAAAATAATAGAGTATAAGATTTACGCATTAATATCAATTTCAAATAATATTTTCGTAAAAGTTTCTAATGAGAAAGAATGGGTTAACAACTCCTCTAGGTATAACATACTGATTCCCAAACACTTCAGCCTCATTCTTTAGACAATAGCTTGCTAATAAACATAAGGGATAATAAACTCGATGGAAAATAGCTTTAACTGTAAAACATACTTCATGCTTCTACAAGTACACCCACGATACGATAAGATCAAGGAATAAAATCAGCTGACACCCCCAATGCCCTTCACAAAGGGTCTTCCTAGCAATATTATAGTAAAACAAGGACTCATTCAATGATTTGCAATTTTTTGGAATTTGCACGATATGAAGAAGAAAGGATAATGCCTTAACATACCTTGACACCCGCATTCCGAAGCCTTCACTACTCCGTCCACCAACATTTTTTGGCAAAAACATATGATTTGCTATAATTTGAAACTCTCAAGACACAAAGATTGATAAAAAAAATTGAGAAATCACAAGGCTTATGTCTTGAAGATAGATGTATATATTGGAGAAGCTGATTTTTGCTTTGTCTTAAACTAACTTACTACTGCTTTCCCTGGTAATAGAAATAATTGCTAGAGGGGATCCAATTCCATAATTATGTTGCATTTAGTTAGCTATCATAATTGAAAGAAACCATTTTTCGTATGTGAAAACGAAAAGGTAGATATCTATATGTATATATTTTGAGAAAGGCGGTGGTAGCAACTTAATTAACAACCAATCAATCAAATTAAAAATTACTTAATCAACAGCCACCCACAAAGGACAACAATTTATAAAATAAACCTTCCATATAGTAATCAAACAAATAAATGCTACATAGGATAAGTGATGACCATTTATTAATCATTTTAACATGTAGTGCTATCCTTCCACTTCCACGTGGAGGTGGAGGTGTTTACCCCCTTCTTTTATTATTATTTTTATTTTATTTTTAATCTCACTAAGTACACATCTGGATATAGCATAGGTTCGTACAAAAATATGTCATTCGTTTTCATATATATATACCACATTTAATAAAAAAATATTTTGAATAAAATTTACCTTATATAATAAAATAATCTCTTGACATAACTAAACAACCTATCTACGTTGAAATATTAATAATTTATAAAATTCTTATGAAATAAATACATAGGAAAATACCTCATAACTAAAGAATATTTTTCATAAATATTTGAGGTACTTTAGGAAAAAATTAAAAATATTTTTTTTTATCATTTTTTAAAAAACTGATGTTTTCAACCATGAGCAATGTCACAATAAAATTCTTAAATTTTGTTTTCAAGCCTTAGACATGATATGAGGGACACTCGTATACATGTGAGGTGTTACACAATTATTCACTAACAAACCTATGGAAATTAACCTAATTGTGAATTTAAAAAAATTGTGCTTTTAGATTGTGATAAGAAGAGGGGGAGGCGGAGGCGGAGGAGGCAATGGGTGGGGGGTGGGGTTAGAAAAGAAGATTCTAACTTTTTTTTTACTTTAATTTTAAGC